CCCGGGCCGCCGGGGGGGGCGGGCCCTGCGCGGCCTCCACGTGAGCGGCCGCGGCTACCCCAGCTCCAGAGTTGGGGAGAGCGGCGCAGCGCTGCGGGGTGATCGGGACCACGCTTGGCATACGTCCCAGCGCTTCCCCTCCGTCTTCTCGGGTTCACGTCGTTTCCATTTTTCTTAACGACCTTCTTGCTCTCGCTCCCGCGGACTCTTAAGTGAGGGGCTCTGAGGACCCGGCAGTGTAGCAGCCCTGGAAAGATCAAACCCGGTTTTCAGAAGCGGAATTCTGACAGTGAAACTTAAAACATTTCCCTGGTCTTCCTAAAGTTAAAGATTCACTTAGCAACTGGAGGAAGACAAGTGTCTGTAAAAGACATTATTTTGGGAAAGGAAGGTGTAGAGAAGGCCTTTAAAAAACACCGTCGGAAGACTCTCTTTCTTTGTGTCTCGACTCCTCCGAAATGGAAGGTGCCATGTAGAACTCCGCCCCTCTCCGGTGCCTGGTACATCAGAAATCTTAAGTATTGGTTGGATGAATGAAAGGAATTGTAAATAAGAGGAGGGGAAAGTGAAGTGTGGTAACTGTTCATATTAGGTATTGGATAAACCACCTTATTTCTCCAAATGATGCTTACTTTCTTCTGGATCTCTATTTTGTTAAACTGCATTCATTCAGCAAATATTTATTGAGTGCAGGTCTGGGGATGGCAGGTTTTGATGAAGGGAGAACAGAGAACTGTTTTCCACATGCCATGTTTGAGATGTGCGCTAAACATCTAAGTGGAGTGAGTGGTCAGGTAGGCAATTGGATCTCCCAGCTGGGAATTTAGGGGAGAAGCGGGGGGTGGAGATACAGCTAACATTTGGCAGTCGTCAGAGTCTCTATGGAGTTTACAGTGATGGGTGAAATGGTGTCAGTGAGAGAGTGCCGATAGAGAGAAAAGGGCCGAAGACCAAGATTTGGGGCACACAGAGATTCAGAGGTCAGGCAGAGAACCAAGCAAAGAATAAGGAGCCATAGCTGAGGCTGAAAGAAAACCAGAGGAGTGTGGGGTCCTGGAAGCTTGATAACGAAGCATTTCAAGGAGAGAGCTGGCAACTTTATCAAATGCTGGTGATAAGCAGAGTGAGACAAAGGCTGAGAATTTCCTGTTGGGCTTCAGCAAGATGGTGACCTTGGTTAAAGACCTCTCAGTGGTGTGGATTGAACAAAAGTAGGATGTGAGGCAATGACTACAGGAAGACATAGGGAGGAATTTTGCTGTGGCGAGCTATAGACAAGTATTTGTTGGCTGGAGGGAGCGATGTGGGCATCACTATTAAGTGATGGGGTGATCCGATAAGAAGGGAGAAGTGAATGACGCAGGAGGGAAGGGCTGCAGACAAGAGGCAGTTGCCAGAGAGAAGTCCTTCATGAGGCTGGGGATCCAGAGCCTTGGCCAGAGGCAGGCACTTCTCCCAACAGGGAGGGGATTGTCCGTCTTGGCGGTATAAAGCCAAGTAGAAGATTTCTAAATGCACTTAGCTTGCTATTTAAAGGATGAGAAAAAAAAATATTTTCTAATAATTATGCCATAATTGGTTTATTTAGTAAATTCTACTTTAACAGATTGAATTTTCTGCTACTATGAAAAGCAGCTCAGTTGGAAATAAGTTTGCTTATTTTTAAATGCACTAAGCAGTCTGGTCAATTTTATTTTATTTTTAAGGTATTATTTATTTATTTATTTATTTTTGGCTGCATTGGGTCTTTGTTGCTGTGTGCCGGCTCTCTCTAGTTGAGGCAAGAGGGGGCTACTCTTCGCTGCGGTGTGCAGGCTTCTCATTGCTTCTCTCGTTGCAGAGCACGGGCTCTAGGCGCACGGGCTTCAGTAGTTGTGGCATGCGGGCTCAGCAGTTGTGGCTCATGAGCTCTAGAGCACAGGCTCAGTAGTTGTGGCGCACGGGCTTAGTTGCTCCGGGTCATGTGGGATCTTCCCGGACCAGGGCTGGAACCCGTATCCCCTGCACGGGCAGGTGGATTGTTAACCACTGCGCCACCAGGGAAGCCCGAGCCTGGTCAATTTTATTTATTTATTTATTTATTTATTTATTTATTTATTTATTTATTTATTTATTTATTTATTTATTTATTTATTTATTTATTTATTTATCTTTTGTGGTACGCGGGCCTCTCACCGTTGTGGCCTCTCCCATTGTGGAGCACAGGCTCCGGACGGGCAGGCTCAGTGGCCGTGGCTCACGGGCCCAGCCGCTCTGCGGCATGTGGGATCCTCCCGGACCAGGGCACGAACCTGTGTCCCCTGCATCGGTAGGCGGACTCTCAACCACTGCGCCACCAGGGAAGCCCTGGTCAATTTTAAAGCAAGTAATGAATCATCATTTAGAACCAATAAAAAAGTTACCATACTTTAAGAAACATTTTATTGGTGATGCAAATCTAGAATTATCGTGTAAGAGACACAAGTCATTAGAAAATACGAGACATGGGGAATTTGCCCCCATTCTTTGACTGAAGTTGTTGACACAAAGGAAGATGTTCACAAACATTCCATTTCTCCTCTGGGTGACAGACAGGACTCCCTCCCACCTCTGAGGTGAGCCATGGTCACCTGACCTGCTTTGGCCAATGAAACGTGAGCAGAGCTGCCGGCTCCACTTCCAGACGCAGGCGTCGAGAGCCAGTGCACAATTCCTGCCGGTCCCTTCCTTTCCTTCCGCAGTGATAGCCGGAAACGAATGTTTACAGGAAGTTCCCTCACCCCACCCCCCAGGGACTGACGACAGAGCCTTCCTGCTGACTGGCGTGGGACACAGAGCACGAGCAAGGAAAGAACTTTGAGCCGTGGCCATCTGGGAGGTGTCTGGTACATAGCACACCTCCAGCGTATCCTGAGTGACATAGATGGTGACCAAAAAGAGCAGCAAGTCCAGTGGATTTGGCTAGTGTGGTCACTGGGTAGGTGATGGTGCCATTTCTGGAACAGACACTGTGAATGATCGGAGGAGGGGCACAGGGCAGGGGATGTTTCCTTCTGTCTGGTGAACTCTGCGTTTGAGAGGCTTATGTCCAATAGGCCAGGCCTCATCAGCAGATGAATGAATAGAGGGATCATGAAAACAGATAAGATTGCCTGGGGAGGGTAAGTAGAATGGAAACAGAAGTCCCTAAGGAACCCTGACATGTAAGGGAGAAGCAGAGAAAGAGGAGCCGCTTTATGGTAGATTTTCCTTTGAAAATGGCACCGAAAGTTCATACGTATTTCATTATATCATGCTCCCGAACAAAAGGCACGATTCTACAGTTAGTACTTTCCCAGGGACACAATCGCATGTGAGACAAGAAAAGCAGTGACTGTCTGAGGCAATGGAAAAACGTCAACCTGCTTATCGCAGGATTCTATTGAAAACTGGCATTTTATTGTGAACATAAGCAAGTCTCCTTCCACCCATATTATATTGTTCCCTAGGGCTTGCAGAGTAATTACGAGTGGAAGTACATCCAAGGGGAAAGATACGCAGAATGAAAACAAGAGGCGTCCCTCTCCCACCCAAGTCATCTTCCCACGCCCCACGTGGGCAGCGACCTGGTCCAGCACGTACCGGCCGGCTCTATACAAGTCACTTCTGAAAGACCATATATTTAAGAAACTCAAAAGCCAAATTCTGAATGTTTTAGGAATCAGAAGCAAGCCAGTTTCCCACTCATCTCCTCTACTGAAAAGCACTTTTCACATGGGGAGTGGTATGCAAGGAACTCAGAGTCCTCAGGGAGGGGACTGGTGAGAGCAAGAGAGGAAGGGGACTTGGGGTCTGTAAGGGAGGGGGGGTTGAGCAGCAAGGAGCGCCGTTACTTAGGACTCGGGCCAGGCTCAGCTGTTCCCCTACAAGCAACACAAGCACTGAGTTATGTTTATAAACACTTTATTCAGTTTGTTATAGTGGGCGACTTCCCAGCTAAATGCACAGATACAGGCGAAGTATTCCTGGATTAACGCAGCAGCCAGTGGGTTACATGGGACTGAGCATCGAGGCCAAG